AGTAGCCAAGAGCCATCCCCAAATATGTACACCAAACACTAACATAGAAGCCAAGTGCTAACAAATAGTAGCTGAGAGTCATCTCAAACACTTACGCCGAGCGCTAACTGGACACATTTTGAACAAAACGTTTTTAACTTATCGGCACAGGATTTTAGTTTCAAACGTTTAATTAAATTAAAGGCGAAAAGATTTCTGAAAAATTCCTAAACGTCCAGATTTTTTAAAATTTCAATCTTAAACTACAAGTTCCATCATGCATCAGCCCTGTCAGAAGGGAATTTAGATTTTGTCCATCCGTTAAAAAGCAGCCGTATGTTGGTACTCGACAGCTGAAAACCTTTTGTCCCGTCAAACTTGTGATCTGCTCAAGATAATTTACTGAAACTCCACGTACATTTGTTCCAACACTAGACAGAGTGTCACGTAATCTCTGTCAGCCCAGCCCCAAGGTCAAGGTCAAAGTTAAAACAGGGTTTTTGTCCATGGGCGTGTAACGTGCCCGTGTTGTTTTTCATGAACTGAAGGTCTTTAATCTGAATGAAAATTATTTTTAACGTCCCAAATTTAACTGAAACAAACAAAAACTTCGGACACGACAGCGACATTTACAAATCCAATTTAATTCAAAGCAGATTAAAACATCCACAAAAACTAAATCTGACCTCAGACTCCCATATTGACTGGATTAGTCGCTCAGCCAGGCCGAGCTCTTCACAGAGCCGGCGGAGATCCTGGTTTTGGTCCCAGTGACCCCCCTCACAGCGCCCGGTGTCCGGTCTCCAGCAGCAGAGCCTCCAGCCTGAGTCTGCTTTGGGTCTGGATGAACGGCTGGTGGAGCCAGCAGGACAGGTAGACCACGTTGAGGTCAGAGTTCGTGGTGTGGGCCAGTTCCTCCAGAATCGTCTGCTTCAGCTTCAGCTCCTGCCTGAAGTCCACCAGCAGGGCGCCGCAGTTCTCCTCTGAAACACCAGACAACCGGAGAGCACGTGGGAGTCAGTGAAGCCGCTGCAGGAATTAACATGCTCAAAATTTCAGCGACACAAACGTTTAGAGTTCCTCAGCTGGAAAACGGTCTGAGCGGAGCAGGATCCAGGTCTCAGGTCCGGGGTCAACTTGGTCACGGTTTATCCAAGTTTGTAGGTTTTTGAACTTTAGGAGGAACCCGAATACCGGAGAAATCGCAGAGATGCACGCTGCCTGCCAACGTTTTATTTAAAGTTGGCGCTCAGAGTGTGTTTAAGATGACTCTCAACTACTACCACTCTAAATTTAAGCTCAGTGTCAGTAAAAATGACTCTTTATTGCCTTTTAGTGTTCGCTGCAACGGATTAGCCGTGGCAGCCATCTTGAAAAGCTCTGACTCTAAAGGTTCAGTCAGTTGAAGTCGTAGAGTCAATGATCATTTTAATAAAATCCATCGTTTCCTCGACACAAAGTCGAGCTCGTTCTCTACGAGTTGGACTCCACCAGGACTCTGTGGTCCACGGCACTACAAGTATCTTTGGAGCTTCCACCAAGACACAAGTTAAAACGACACGATCAGACAGGAAGTGGAGGTGGGCGGGTCATCCAGTGACGTAGCTCCGCTGGCCGATCAACGGCTGCTGTCTGCTTACGTCAAAATCTTCACGTCGGAGCGGAGCAGTCCGCTAAGAACCATGAGCAAGGTGGTCCCATAAACTGGGCTGAGTGGAGTGGGCAGGTCGTTAACTGGTACGGTGTCGTGCAGAACCGATGAGAGTTGAGGCTGTGGAAAAGCGCCAGATGTCAAAAAGATGGAACGCCCTCTCCGGGCCACGGGAAGTCTTCACCTCAGGTGGAGGAGTTCAAAATGAGCTTCTTCACAGGGTGGCCGGCAGGACTATAGACCCTCTCTGGTCTGGGAACACCTGGGGTCCCCTAGGAGGATCTGGAGAGAAAGAGGTCTGGGGTTCTCTCCAGGACCTATTGCCCCTACAACCAGACTCTGGATAAGTGGTAGACCGTGGAGGTGGTTCCAGATATGACTCAATGAAGATTTACCCGCCAGGCCCAGATCTCTATGAGGACAGCTAAAGTTTAGCTGTGATGATGCTTGTCACCTTCATGAGGACAGCTGAAGTTTAGCTGTGATGATGCTCATCACCTTCATGAGGACAGCTGAAGTTTAGCTGTGATGATGCTCGTCACCTTCATGAGGACAGCTAAAATTTAGCTGTGATGATGCTGGTCACCTTCATGAGGACAGCTAAAATTTAGCTGTGATGATGCTCATCACCTTCATGAGGACAGCTAAAATTTAGCTGTGATGAAGCTCGTCACCTTCATGAGGACAGCTAAAGTTTAGCTGTGATGGAGCTCATCACCTTCATGAGGACCGCTAAAATTTAGCTGTGATGATGCTCATCACTTTCATGAGGACAGCTAAAATTTAGCTGTGATGATGCTCATCACCTTCATTAGGACAGCTGAAGTTTAGCTGTGATGATGCTTGTCACCTTCATGAGGACAGCTAAAGTTTAGCTGTGATGGAGTTCATCACCTTCATGAGGACAGCTAAAGTTTAGCTGTGATGGAGCTCATCCCCTTCACGAGGACAGCTAAAGTTTAGCTGTGATGGAACTCATCACTTTCATGAGGACAGCTAAAGTTTAGCTGTGATGGAGTTCATCACCTTCATGAAAACAGCTAAAGTTTAGCTGTGATGGAGCTCATTGGTCCCACTAAATCAGAAACATCTCAGGGTCAAAGTCCCAGCAGCTCCGTCCTGATCCATGAAGGAACGGAGTGGAACTCAGGTTTTATGGCGTCTAGTCAGGCTCAAAGAGAACCTCATTTAAAAAGCAGCTGTCTGAGGTTTGGTTACTAACTCTGTCATTCATTCGTTCGTTCGTTCATTCGTTCGTTCATCAAAGAAGAAGTCAATCCATCCATCTCAAGCGCACCGAGATAGAAACTGTGGGTCGACTTGAAGCTGACTGACCGAAGTCTTTGGTGGTCCAGCTGTGAAACAGAGGAGCCCTCCTCCCTTCAGGACCGAACTGGAACTCCTCCAGTTCCTGAACGCCTCGCTGCAGCTCCATCAGACGCTCCATCTTCTTCACCATGGCAACCTGAACAACGACAAAAACAAAAAAACAGTTTAATTTATTAAAGCTCCTGATTTGACAGTAGAAATGTTGAAGGTTCTCGTCATCCAGGTGAGCTGATCCCGGCAGGTTCACCTGAACGCACCGTTTAACCCGACTTTAAGAAAAGAACCACACAATCGAACAGACTTTAACTTCAGTTATTCATGTTTTCATCATGTCGGCTGTCAATAAAGAAACATTTTCTCTGGAAGACTGTGGTTTTGAAGTGATCACAAATCTTTTCCTACACAAGCTCCTCGGATGAGAAGAATAACATCTTCAAAATAAAAAAAACCAAACATCCAGTTGATTTCTACATTTCACAGCTAAAGCTTTAAAACATCATCCAGCATCTCGGCTACAAAGGGACCAAAGTTAAAATGTGAGATGTTAACCAGAGGCCATGTTTGGTCCTCGAGTTCATCACCGCCTCATTAGTTTATTAATCGTAGCTCTTTTCAGCGCCGACTCGCAATGAACAGATCCTAAATTTTGCTTTAGGGGGACTTCTCTTTTCATTAAAAACATTTTAGTTTTAGTTTTAAACAACTTTTAAAAGCAAAACGAGACATTTCTGCTCCAACAAAAATAAATGAAACTCATCCGGAGTCACAAAACCCACATGAAGCCTTAAATTAAGATAAACTTTATAGAAAATGATAAAGTTAAAGATCTGTAATAAAGTTGACGTTTCTTGTAGTTTTACGTTTTAGAGGAAAACGACCAAAGTGGAGTTGATGAAATGTGAACACTGACCTGTCCTGTTCAAACAGACGTGAAGAATTATTAATAAACATTAAAGCTCATAGTTTTGGTCAACGAGCCGCTTGATGGGAACTAAAGAGCCACATGTGGCCCCAGAGCCGCAGGTTGAAGACCCCATGCGTCTAAAGGTTCTGGTTCTTCTTTAAAAGTAACTTTGTGTTCGGTTTGAGTATTTTTGCTCCGTTTCTGAAATCAGACCAGGCGTCACCATTTTGTCGACGACATCCTGCAGTTTGGAGCTTTCTTCCTGCAGCTGAGCCGCGTCGACCGCCTGCAGCGGCTCCTCCGACGGAAACGGACCGTCGTCCAAAACCAGCCGATCTCTCTGAGAGCTGAGGGGGAACGGGAAAACAAAAGCGGGTTTTAGTCGGACCGCCTTAAAGAAAAATCGATACGGTCGGAGGTTTTAATTTTCTCACCTGTAGATGAAAAACTTAAAGCTTCAACTCGTTGATAAAATCAACTCACCGTCTCATGTTGACGATGTTTGTTGCGAAGTTAAACCCCTCCTCGTTCAGTTTGTCCCACCTGATCATCAGGTTGTGCCAGTCGGCTGCGTTGTCTTTGATCTTTCTTGCACTTCCTGTGATCGCTGACGGCTTCCTGTTGGACGAGGTGGGTGTCACGCCGCCTGAAAACACAACGTAACGATGATCTTTTTAATAAAATCATTTCAACGATCGTCTCAAGGTCTCAACCCCCCCAATGATGACACGGGTGAGCAGAACCCGAAGGAGCAACTATAACCAGTTTGGGACCACTGGGACTCTTCTGAGACCTGCTCGCCAAGTCAAACTGAGCAAGCTGAGGGAGGACCAACATCCTGAGGGTCCCTCTGACATTCTGGGACCAATCCAGAACCAGAACCTCCTTTAGTCTGGACTTCATGGCAACGCAAACTCGTCTTCTGGACTCAGACTCTGAGGGACATGATCCTCTGGTTCTGAAGACTGAACTGTTTGATTCGGAGTCGTGTCCATATACCGCCCCACGTCGAAGCACGGTGGTGGGAGCATGATGCTGCGGGGTGTTTAACAGAAGGACTAAGACTGGCCAGGGTTTGAGAGAAGACTGAACAGGGCAAAATACAGAGACCCCACCTCCTGAATGAGAACCAGGTCCAGACCATAACCCTGACTCGAACCTCTGGACATAAAACTGGTCTCTGTCCAAGCGGACCTAGCTGGACCGGATTTGTGCACCCCCAGGCTGCAGCTGCTGTTAAAGATGGACGAGCTCTGAGGTTGGGTGACCTTTGACCCCTGGGTTTATCCACCAGACTTTCATTAAAGTTCTGCAGATCCAACAGCTCCAGTCTGTTTATATTTATCTATTTTAGTCAGATCTTAATCTGAATTAAAACTTAGATTAATAAAAAGCAGCTGAAGATAATAAATACCCTTTAGCCGGTTTAAATTTTTACAAAGTCGGAAGATGTTAAAACTTGAACCTTTCTTCGTAAATTTTCTAACTTGTTAAACATATTGTCTGTTTCAAACCACTGGAACCCGCTTAACTAAAATGCATTTACTCTGACCCTCAGGTTGGTAAATACCATCCCATTTTATTCACAGAGCACTTAAAACAGCTACAAGGCCAAAGTGCTGTACAGACAGAACAGACAACACACGAAGCAAACAGAAACGCAGTAAAGTCTCCCAGCGGCGCGGACATTTTTATTTTTTAATAAATTTACCTTCCATTTAACCGATAAGTGCAGACGTGAAGGGGTCTCCTCCTCTCACGTTTCAGATTTTCATCCGAATCATGTGCAAATCTCCGTAGGAGCGAGTGGAAACTTCCTGTTTTTAAAAGTCACGTGATCAGTGAAGGGCGAGTGGGGCGTTCAAATGATTCCAGGTGGTCGGAATTTCTACATCCAAGCAACCCCGACAAAATAAATTAAAAATCCTGGCGGTTTCTCGCATGAGAATGTTAAAACTTTTCCTACAGCTGCTTGAACTTTCGTGGGTTTTAAAATTCTGACATTTGTGTAGAGAAATCCAGTTTGTAAGTTAATTAGAACCGTAACTGCTCAACTCCATTTAAGAAAAAAAGGCAACCTGATATTTTGAGTTTTAAGTTCTTTCTTACTGTCCAAAGTAAATAAAGCACGACCTTTTAATCTAAAACTGAACATTTGTTGACTTTACTAATTACTATACCATACCACCATTTATAAAGCACTTAAAACAGCAACAAGGAGCGCTAAAGTGCTGTACATAAAGCGAAACAAGCAAACGACAGGACAAAAAGCATACGACCAAATAAGTAAATGTAATTAAATGACTTAACATTAGAATATAGACAAGTTAAGCCAACTCAGAAGTGTCAAAAGCCAGAGAATAAGTATGTTAGTACGACTTAAAATCCATGAGGGTGACATGCAGTAACTCATTCCAGTCACCAGAGATTAAAACGTGCCTGGAACAAATGAAGCATCTGGTTTGCAGACCTGAGCTGTGGGACATATGGCTGCAGCAGATCAGCAAGATAGGAGGGGGCAGAAGTTTTAAAAACACAGGTTTAAAAATGAACTTGAAGGAACTGAAGTAATGTACTTAAAAAAAAATCTGTACCAGTTAAAAACCAGCTGCAGCATTTTGAACGAGTTGAAAGTTTCCATAACTCGTTTCAAATATAAAGAAGCCAGCAACGAAGACGCTGCAGGTGATATATTAAGTTGTTTACCTTTTTTGATATATAAATGTATATAAAATATTTATACATACATATATATTAAAACAGTTAACAGAAACGGGTACAAAGAAAAGTGAATAAAGTCTGATTGAACTTGATGGAGCAGGAAAATAAAACTCAGGATGATAAAACATAAAGATTTTTATTTCATAGTAAAAAAATGTAAATATTTACAGTTTGAGGAAATCTACTTTAATACACAATCACCTTTTCTGACTCATGCAAAGTGATCAGAAGTGATTTCAGGTTCAAACATGATTCTCTTCCTCTCGTCTGCATCAGAAGAGTCCGGGCTGAGAGGAAAAAACCTCGACCCCCTACATTTCTGACACGTTTCATTTTTAAAAAGCAGCCGCGCTTCCGGCTCGCTTCTTCAGCTTCGCTGCGACACGCCGACAGTCTTTAACTCAGGATGGAGGAGGTGGCGAGGAGCAAAATGAAATCAATCCGACACGGCACCTTCCTTTAGTTTCTTTTTCTTCTTCTTGGACTTTGTTGGTACCTGAAGAAAAACAACTATTAACACCGACACGACTCAGTTCTTCGATCACAGAAACCCTGAACACAAACATGCTCACCTCCTCTGCCGTTTCCTCCGGCTCTGGCTCCGCCTCCTCCTCCAGTTTCAATTTCTTCTCTTTTTTCTTCTTCTTTTTCTCTTTCGTCACCTCCTCTGCAGACGGCGTGCCAGGCGCCGTCTCGCCATCGCTCTCCTCTCGTTTCCGCTGCAGGTCAAAGGTCAAGAGTCACTACAAGCTTCACCTCTGTTCAGATTTTATTCTGTTAGAACAGGACATCCACTTGGTCTGATTGAAAGTTTAAAGTTTACCTTTGCTGATGACTCGTCCGTTTCCTCCTTAACTGAAACACTGTCAACAAAAACAAAAACTCATCAACCTTTTACAGATTTAAACTCGCAACTTCTGAAGCAAAATTCACGACTCGCTGTCAGAAAACATTGCTTCACCACGGCAGAAACTTTTACATCGATTCAAACAGAAAAAATAAACCTGGACTAAAAACGTCAAGATTTTCTTGGCACGTCGGGTTTTTAAAGGGAGTATTTTGGCCGCAGCAGGCTCCTGTAGTGATGGAAACAGACAAAGCTGCCTCCAGAAAGAGGGACAACCGTCTGCAGACAGCGAGACAAGTCCTTCCTGGTACCTGTAGTCCACGTACTGCTCCTTCCAGTCCTTCGGTGTGCTGGCGTTTGGCTTCCCGTGTTTGTCCAGAAGCCCCTTCTGGACCATCATCTTCTTCATGCTCGCCTGAATAAAAAGACCTTCAGTAAACATTTTGTTTGTTTTATGGCCTGAGAGTGACAGAACGCCGCAGCCGTACCTTCGGCCCCAGACCCCACTTCCGTGGGTACGTGTCCCGCTCCATGATGACCCTCTTGATTTTGGCCACGACGCCGTGGTCGCAGGTGGAGATGACGGCCGTGGTCATCAGAGCCACCGCTGCAGGAGGAGAACCCGGTTAAAGATCTGCTCCAGCTTTCGACCTGTCTGAGCGGAACCAGAACCCCCGGCTCACCTGTGCAGATGGCCTCGCCTTTGGATGTGATCACCACGATGTCCTGGTTGATCTCGATGCCGTCTTCGTACCTCAGAACACCAGGAAGTAAAATCTTCGCCCCGTAGCAGATAGCATTGACCTGCGAACAGTCGGGAGGTTCTTCTCTCAGCTAAAACCTTTCATTCACACCAAAAACAGACTAGACGGGTTCTATTGGACTCACGGCGCTGTCCTTCATCACGAGCCGGCGGTACGACACCAGCAGCTTCTCCAGAGGGAAGATGACCCTCCTCAGGTACGTCTCGTCCTTGTTGTGGTCGAACTGCCACTGAGCATCTAGAACATCGTGCATCGTCACCATGTTGTCCTGGAAACACAGACGTCCTGTTAGCAGCATGAGCCTCAGAGGGCGCCACAGAGCGCGCCCGTCACGTCTCCACTGCTGTCCTTCGTCCTTTCCCAAAGTTAAATTACCGACCCTGCACCGAGCAGCAGAGTCGGACTCAACACTTTGGACCTCAGAGTAGAAAACAGGAAGTGGTACCAACCTTCTCGCCCAGAACTCCAGACCGGACTCTCCGCAGCTCCTGCATCTGACCCCCGACCCCGAGCAGCAGCCCCATATGAACACACAGAGTCCGGATGTAGGTTCCTGCTTCACAGCTGACCCAGAAGATCCCTGAAAACCAGATCAGGTCAGCGGTTCTGAAGGATCCACCATCCTGCAGGTTGAAAGCATCTCGCGTGTCAGTCCTCACCCAGCCTCCTCTCAGGATTGTACTCGATCAGTTTGCTCTCGTAGATCGTTCGCACCCGGAGTTGGCGTTTCACGGCGGCGATCAGCGGCGGGCGTTGGAACAGAGCGCCGGTCAGAGTCTCAATGGCCTGAGGACACAAGAGAGGGACCGTAAGAAACGACCGGCAGGTAATCTGCAATAATCTGTAACAGAGGAACACGTGAAGTACCGTATGTGATGGTTTAATCTGACTCAAACTAGTTACTCAGACAAAAACTGAAACGTGGAGTTCAACACTTTTAGCCCAGAGACAAACAGCTGATGGTTCTGCTTCGTGCAGTACTGACCCGGGCCAGAGTGTGTTCGTTCTCGATGGCGTTGTGCAGCCGAACGATTCCCACGTACTCTTTACCTGGAGAGGAACATCAACGAGACAACTATTAGCATAATTAAGAAAAATTTAAAAAGTTCACTAAATGATTTAATTATACATTTTCTATGCAAGCAGGCGGTTTTTATTTTATGATTCAGCATCAGACCAGGAGCGTTGAAATATTTTAATGTTCACATAAATTAACTCAGCAGGTGGACTCATCGTCCCATCATCATTTATTTAATCTTTATTTATACAGGTGGTCTCATTGAGTCAGGTTTTATTCATCCTTATTAAGGAAGACCAGTTCACACACGAGCCAGATGTGGCCCCCGGACCACCAGTTGGATAACCCTCGTCTACAGTTCTCAGTTTTACGAGGTCGGCAGGCTCTTATTATTATTTTACATAAAATCTTATATTTATTTATAATCAATCCTCCAAGAAATAAAAATTAGGTGTTTATTCAAAAATTGTGTTTTTGCAGTGAAGCAGACTGTCCACACCTTTGGATCCACGAGGCATTTCCACAGAACCACAGGGCTGCTAGTTACAATCCAGAACCCTAAAACGCTGCCCAAAAGGCAGGAAGGTTTGATCGAGGCACACCGGGGATTAAAGACGTTTGGAGCTCTTACCAGCGCTCTGCTGGGACTTGACCAGTCGTGTGGCCCGATCGATGCAGACTATGAGGCAGCCGGTGACCTTTGGGTCGAGCGTTCCGCTGTGACCCGTCTTCTCCACCCGCAGAATCCTCCGGATCCACGCCACCACCTCATGAGACGACGGGTTGGCCGGTTTGTCCAGGTTAATGAAACCTGACCTGTGGGAGCAAACAAGTCAGTACTGCCAGGGACACGACCAGAACCACGTAATCTGAAGGTTCTGCTAGAACTCACTTGACATAGTCGGAGATGTTCCTCTTCAGAGGGTTGCTGCCGTTCGGTAGGGGGGTGTAGTGAGCGGTCCGGATGTTCAACTTGTCAAAATTCTGTTAGTAAAGCAGGCGAGGTTTCAGCACAGGTTCTGGAGGCAGCGCCTCGAGGATAAACACTTCGAACGTGATCAGAACAAAAAATCATCTTGGCCGGTGGCGAGTCAAGTCATTTCTCCGCAACGTTCCCGGGCGTGGTCCGACAGAACGCCGGACAACTCCGGCAACGCAGCGGAGACGCTCTGCTCCAGAACGGAACCAGAGGCACAGACTGAAACTCGACCGCGGCACTCAGAGAATGGATAAACCGGATCATCATGTCACGGTGTGCAGTATTAAGGCTGTCGCTTCGACCCTGAGAGGTGACCCACCTTTAACAGGAGCGGCCACTGAGACGTGTCCAAAGACGCTACTTTGGCTTCTGGACGGATGAAGAAGTCTCCGCTCTGCTGGAGCTCCTGTTAAATCAAAACAACTAATCAGAAAAAGAATCAACAAATAAATCTGAACTTTTAACAAAAGTTCTCACAAACCCCAACTTCCTCTTCGCGGACTTTCTTCGCCTTCTTCTTCTTCTTCACCGACGCTGAAAATATAAATAATACTTTTATATAAAAATAAACCAAAATAAAAACCTTTAGCTCCCAGAACGATCAGAACGTAAACTTCAGTTTGACATAAACCCTGAAATGTCTTCAGATAGTAACACCAGGACCGTTTTATTAAAAACAAACTTCCAGATTAAACCACAGTTCCAAGGTTAATCTCAAATAATTTCTATTTGCTTTGTGACTGTGAAATTAAATGGCAGTCCAAGACTTGGCTCTTGTTAAAAATATAATTTTTTTTACTTACTAATTGCTTTATTCCCTATTTTTCTGAGCTGCAACATGCTCGAAAAGAGGAAAACTAGACACCTCAGTCACAGAAACACTCCTGCTGCCCTCGGGTTAAAAGAGGCCTCAGTCCCTGGGTTATTTTGAGCCAAGGACAGCAGGAGGGTCAACCATCAAAACCTTTAAGATTTGACCAAAACATCCAGAAACTGGTGTTGCACAATAATGGCTAAGGCCACTATATAAATTAATATTATACTTAAAAGTTGTACGTTGCATTGCTTAAAGTTGGATAAATATTATTAGGTAATTAAACAGACTGGTTACTGTAACCAGTCCAGAGAATGTTTAATGAAAGTTTAAAGTACCTGTTTGAGTTTTCCCTAACGATTGTCCAAAATTTCTGTATTTAAAAAACGCTGCAGCTGCTATTTTTATAGTTACACTCAAGATGACTGTATGTTATGAAATGGTTTGGATTAACTCAGTCAAAGTGCTGAAATTTGAACTTTCAGGGAGGAAAATTAGTATAAAAAAAAAACATGGTGGTGGGACTTCAGCCACGCGGTCGGTGCCCTCGTGCACAAACTCTGGCTCCAAGAAAAAAAAAAAAAGCATGGCGGCGGTTTAATAGCTTCATTTTTTTAAAAACTAATATGAAGCAAGTTTATGCGTTTAACAATCTTTAGCTACAGCTGACAAACCATTAGCCTAGCTAACACGTTCCTGTTTAGCTGCGCACGTGGCCCCGGCCTAAAGCACGTGGTTGTCTCCGCACGCGGCTGCTAACGTCTCAAGCTAACAGCCCTGGAACAAACTACAGCCAGAAGCGGATTGAGAAAACTGCTCATTAGGTCCTCCACCGTCCTCGCAAATCTTCGTGCTTCGATTAAAACCAACGAGTGAGTTCGTTTTTAAAACCAGAACAAGCAAAAATTCAAAGGTTTTACAAATTAAAACTACGGACTTTTTTGTTTTTTAATTAAAACTACGATTTAAATAAAAAACGATTAGCTTTGTAGATTTATTACGCCGCTATGAGGCTTTCTGGAATAAGAAAAATCTTAAAATTTGTATTCTATCTAATAGCTGAGTGATGTGCACGGAAAACCGTGCCAGAATCGTGCAGAACACTCACCAGTTTCGTCTGCCATCTTCTAAAACGAACGAAGCTCGTGCTCCTCAACGTTCTTCTTCTACTCATTTATTTCCCAGACTTTTTTTTTCTTCTTCGGTTTCATTTGAGGTAGTTTTCAACTCCGCCATTTTCCGCCACCTACCGGACTGGGCTCAAACTGTACAAAGTTTCAAATGGAAAAGCAATATGTCTGAACTCAAAAACTTCAAATAATACCCCATACAAGAACATTTAACAAACTAAATTACCTTATCGGTAATAAAAAAATAGATAATCCTGTTTAACTAGAACGTTTTAAAACTCAATGGAAAAATTTTTTTTATTTTTACATATGAATGTTTCTGTTAAGTGACAAATAAACTGAACTGAATTAAATTTAAATGGGGAAAAAAAAAAAGTTTTCAGCAAAGATCACAGATGTTTTATTAGACTGTTCTCAGGGGGCCACTTCAGAAACTGGTCCTAAAGGAACTGGTTTATATAATTCAGAGCTATTCCATAATATCAAGGCTATAAGAAAACAAAACAATAAAACTTAAATATGAGTTGGACAAGAAACCACAGCTGGAAGCAGTGTGGGACAGACAGAAGTTTTTGAGGGGATTGCGGCCATCTTGAATCAGGTTAACTTCAGAAGTTAATCATTTGCAGGTTGTTGCAGAACAAATTCATGAGATATTTTGCAGACAAAAAAAAAAAAAAAATTGCAATGTTTTACCATCAACACCCCTGCTGCCCTTGGGTCAAAATGACCACAATGCCTCAGTTTTTGACACTAGGGCAGCAGGAGGATTAAAAATGTGTAATGAAAAAAAAACAATCAAACATTTACGTCACTACTACTTTTATTTGGCAAACAGCTTGAGATAGTTCCTCTTTTTCAATATACAGTATTTGTACATATATATATTTATTTATTTATTTATTTATTTATATATACTATAGTAAAACCAACACATTCTGTTTGATTACCAATTTCTTGTTTTTTGTTTTTCTCTAACATATTACAGCTTACAAATATATCTGATCTTTTTAGACAAAATTATCTGTTTGACACCTAAACTTTGTTTTGGACGCCAATATATAAAAAAAAAAATAATCCCACGTCATACATTCATGGTTAGAAAACGCAGTTTTTTTACGAAATCGGGAAAGAAACGAATCGAACCAAACGGCACAGTTTCAGTCACAGCTCATCGGGGGAGGAGTGGGTTCAGACTAAAACCAAAGATCAAATCCTCTGATTGCTGCTACACCTGAACCCTCAGAACAGTGAAGATATCGAGGAACGGCGGCGGTACGGTCGCAGGAGAAGAACCTGCGCTCTCACTCCGGAGCCACCAAGTAAAATCTCTTTGAGGATTAAAACGGATGTTCGATAAAAATATTAGCATTTCAGGCTGCACAGATACCAGCACCGTCTCAAGGATCAGTCCAGAGATTATGCAAAAACTCAGAGCTTCACGCCTGCGGGGGTCGGATGCCTGAGGGACAAAGTTGGACACCGAGGAGCTGCCGCCAGACTCTAACCGAGCCCCTTGGACGGGCGTTTCTTCCTGAAACAATAAAACTGGTTTTGCACATCGGGTCAGGGCGGTTCTGGTAAAAAACAAAAATAAATACAGCTTCAGAGGAGGGTCCGTCCTGCGCCGGGGAACCAAAACGTTCCCGGGGAGGTTTTGTTTTATACAAAGTATTGCTGAATTCGGAGCGCTGCATCAGATTAGACAAACCGGCGCTTCTTTATTTTATTTTTTTTCCTCGTGTCAGCTGCATCAGAACCAGTGAAAACCCAGACGCCCCATGCTGTTCAAGAAAATCAGTGCTCACTCTTTTTGTCTTTGTTTTGTTTGAACCGTAGAGAACACCTTTATATTTTTTATTTTTCATACTCCGGCAATATTTTATGACAACATCTGCAAGCACTGACATCTAAATAGAAAAGAACAAAGTGCTCCCAAACACAAAAAAAGATGCATATTGTAAAATATTTTTTTTTACAGCGGTTTGATCTCTTGACCTTTGACCCCTTCTTGGAACGCACCAGAACCTTGTTGAACGATGAGGACGAACAGCAACACGAGACGGCGGAACGTTTAAGGGCAAACACACAAAACTATCATTTATTTTAAAGATAAAACTAATTTAAATAAATAAATATTCTACTTTATTTTATACTTTTTGAATATTGCCATCGGATGTTCTAATATAATAAAATAAAGATATGTTTTTGGCTTGTGCTGTCATTCTAAACAATTACAAACATTGCCTCTTTTTTTTTTTATCTGAACGTTTAAAAATACGTTTTTCCAAGGAGCTGGCAGATGAAGAACACTTCTTATTGGATATCAGCGTTTGTTGCTTAGAAACTAAATAATTATGTGCAAAAAAGTCCTCCGTAAAAGGCGGAGCCACAGCTAAAAGGTGCAGGAATGTAGAGATCGTGACGCTGCAGGCGACGAACGTACAAAAGGCTGACTGACAGCGGTCGATCCGAACGTTTGGATTTGTTTAAACTCAGCAGGTCGGAGGTCAAACTTCCCCACGGTGCCCAAGAAATACACAAAAACAACAACACAAAGAGTCAGACAACACAACCTACAAGGTTCTTTTTTAAAAAGGCAAATGAACTTCTGTTTTTTTATTTTTATGTTTCCCGGCATTCTGAAAGAGTCTCCAAAACAGGGCAGAGGTTCTCAGTTCTGTTGCAGAGACTCAGTCTTGTGAATTTGGAACACGGTCAAAACAATTTGAGCGTCTTCGACCCGTCTCAATCTGTAAACTGTAGAGCCCGTCGAGCCGGATCTCCGAGGCTGCAGCCCCAAATGTCCAAATTTACAAAGTTCAATGATTCAGATTTAATTTAAAAAAACTGATTCATATCCATTTCCTGTATTCAAGGTCAGCGTTTACCTCGAGTCTTTTGGTCCTTTACACCGTCTTTTTATTGACTTTTATATAAAAACGTTATGAGTTTTTTTTTATTTTACATTATGAGAGCGAAATGTCATTAACATAGAATGTTGACGGGAGTCTGAATGACTGCAGAGCAGCTGAAACATTAATAAACTCTTTAAACGAAGTATGTTTCAATAAACTGGTGGTAGGCATGAATATATCTAGACCACAATGCATTGCAAAATACAGACTCTGAGCAGCGCATTCATAACTTTCAACAGAGTCCTCCAGTAGATGCATATATACATGCGTATATGTATATGAATATGTAGATACATTTAGGTGTGCTTCAGATTTTTTACTTTTCTAATATTTAGACTATAGTGTTTTTAGTTGGCAGTTTGTTTGTTTGTTTGAAAGAGAGATTTTATGTTCGACGCATGTCCTGAAGATATATTTCATTTTACGTTTTTGCATAAAATGACAATTAAATTGAGCTAAATTGAATAAATTAAATTCTAAATGTTGGGTCGGCTGTTAAAGTGGGTCCAAAACGAGTTGAGGTCTCCAACAAAATAAACTTAGAGCCCTAAAACACACATGCCGTGTGCACAGAAACACGGTGTGGTTTTTAGCGAACGCTCAGAGTTCAGTTGGACTTCTGAGAATCATTGATGGTTTTCTTACAATTCTGGGTCGCGACTCACCTCCATCAGCTTCGGCCAGATCAGACACATTCTGACCCAGAGGTCACCCACACTTCAGAACCAGTTCAGGCGTCTCCTTCACTTCCTCCTTGGAAACCACCAAAATGTCTGATGTGGTCAAGAAAGACCTAATGACCCTCAGGAAGGAGGGGAGAGATTTTCATGACTCCTAACCTTGAACCTCCATACCAGGGGTGTCTGATCCTGGTCCTGGAGGACCACTATCCTGCACGCTCTAGATGTTCCTCTGTTCCAACACACCTGATCTAAATCAACAATTAACAGGCTTCTACAGAACATGAAGAGATGATTCAACCACGAGGAAGGTGTGATGGAGCAGGAAACAGGTCAAACATGCAGGTTAGTGGCACCTCCAGGACCAGAGCCTCACTGATCTACACCCACAACTCCAAACCTTTAGTTTAAACTGAGGTTCTCCTTGGAGAAGAAGCCTTTACAAAACCAGAAGTCCAGTTGCCTTTTTTTAAAACCTCAGGTCTGAATCTACACAGCACATCCCTCTGAGGACACACACACGCACACACACGCAGAAGGTGCGACAGTTTTCCCACAGCTCTTCTCTTCCTTCTGCTTCCAGTCTTTCACCTGCAGGAACAGAACCCGACCCGTACAGAAGTCCAAACAGTCTGAATGTCTTTCTCCTTCTTCTTGAAGATCTGCAGCTTCAGCTCTTCTGCAGCTACATGTGTTGGGCGTCCATGATGTCCAAATATTTGGCCTCAATGACGTGAGGAAGTACGTTGTTCCTGAACACAGCAGACAGAAGATTAACAACACTTTGAAAACCAGAAGACGCCAAAACAAAGAAGCTGCTGAGATCAGAAGGTTCTTCTTCTCATCAGATGAATGAGTTTTTATTTGAGACAGGTTTTTTCCCAGCATGGAACCACTTCACACACACCTTCATAAAGACCTGAGTCCTAACAACTGGTGCTGAAGATTCTGAGACGTCCAAACATGAAGAGACCAAGGCCTGCTAACTTCTCCAGTGATCATGACTGACTGCAGCTGACAGTCCTCACTGAGCTGTCCAACACTCATCTGTCCTCACTGAGCTGTCC